TACCAAAACTAGTAATTTGAACCATCAAAGTTTCAATGTTCGTGCAATCAGGCAGGAACTCAACCATTAACACTGAACTGGAACAGAAAACTAGAACCATATATAAACTGTCCAGATAGTTACTAACACACTTTCAAGACTTTCATCATCATCGTCATCATAATAATAACAATATTAACAACAACAACAACAACAAAAGAACAAACTTAATAGGCATAAGTTAATAACACAAACATTTGGAACAAAAGGCAAAAGAGAACTACTTATGTTCAAGAACAAGAAATCACATAAAACAAAATTGCATTTGAATCCAAAACAAGACCTTGTCCAAGGTCCCTACCGATACGATTCCCAAAAACACAACTGATATGTGAGAGAGACGTAAGAGGTGGCTCATTTCCCATTCCCCGTAAAAGAGAAAGAAACTAAGGGCATGTTCTTTTGTCCATAAAACTCAAAAAAAGACAACTCAAGTTTCAACTTTATTCAAGTTTACGTTCTTTTAAGTTTCAACTTTATTCAAGTTCTAACTTCAACTCAAGTTATAACTCAAATTCAACTCAAAAACTACACTCAAGTTATACTTCAAAAGAACAACCCCTAAATTTGTCTAAGAACTTCCCCAAAAGATTGAATACAAATAAGTTTCGATGGAGAAAACTTCTAGTTAAATATTTTCGTCTCTTAAAAGACTTCGGAAACAAAACAAAACAAAATCACGCAAAATGTATATGTGTGTGTTCACAATTCCAGAAAACAGAATCACAAATCAAATTGGGTAAAAAAGAAACATAGAAAAAAGAGAGATTTTAATCTTGTAACTTTGATTCAAGAGTGAGAAGCAGTGAATGGCGTTACGGGCGAAAAAGCTTGGGCGGGTTCTTTCGCAACAGGGGAAAATCCAAGGGGAAGTTTTAATTTTAAAATAAATAGATCACTCAACATTTTAACATAAGTCCTACGGCCAATCATATTCACCCAATGTTAAAACACAACTTTCAGTGCCATCCATCAGTCAAGGTTTAAACTGCATATTAGACAAGTAGAATTAAGATAATCATTAGCCCGAGGCAGTAACTTGAAACGCTGTACATCAGCAAGATAACAAACCTTACACTTATTATTGATATTCTTTGGGGTGAGAAAACAGAATGTTAGAAAGGAAAAAAGAAAAATACTCCTAAGATGAAGAATGGAAAGAGAACAATTACCAAGATTTTTTGTCCTTAAAATAACTTATGTTTAAGGACAAAAAATTACATAAATCAAACAAAATGGCTTTTGAATCCAAAAGAATACCTTATCGAACATGAAAAGCCTATCGATGTGTTTCTCAAAACACACGAATGATAGTGTGAAAAAGATGTAAGAGAAAGGCATGAAATTCCCCAAAAGAACTGAAATTGAACTTTTGAATCAAAATTAAACAGAATCAAGCACAAAATAATGTGTAAAACTCCAGAAAACAGAATCACGAATCATAATTGGGCGAAAGTAGAGAGAGAGATTTAGAAAGGATACACCTCCGATTCAAGAGTCAGAAGCAGGAAATGCCGTTACAAGTGAAAAACCTTGGGACATTCCTTCCATTTTTGTGTACTTTCTCATTCATTTGTCTTTTTCTACTCGGCAACGCCGCCCACAACACCGCAGACGACGAGAATTTGGGGGAAGGAAGAGAGAAAGAGAGATTGCGCTTAAAATGTTTTTTGTCCGTTGTAGTAAGGTACCTTGTTTACCCATATTTAAAAGGGAAAGTAAAGCTATCGGGTGCGTTTGGAATTGGTTCCAAAATGTTTTTATTTTTTGTACGAAAATAAAAATGAAAACGTTTTTAGTTTCATTTTTGAATTATTTTTAAAAATGCGTTTGGTAATTTTATTTAGAGATTGATTTCAGTTTTAAAAAAAAACTGAAACTGCGTTTGGTGGTTTAATTTTTGAAAACATGTAATAATATATTAAATAAATA